GGACAGCCCCGCTCCTCACCAGCTCGAACCGGTTGTTGACTCGGACGCCCTCCTTGCCTGCGTCTCCAGGGCGCCGGCCGGCTGGCCCACGCTTTGGGCCTTCCTCTTCCGCGTCTTCGTCATCACGGAGAACAAACTGCAGGGCACCAGGCCCGAGGGGCTCCTGGCCGCGCTGTTCCCCCCTCAGCCTCCGGAGGGCCCGGCGCGACATACGACCCAACGGCCACTGACGTCCGAAGACGGAGGAGGAAGAGCAGAAAGGAGAGGGGCTAGCGCGCCTGCGCACTGACGGCGCGCTGGCGCGGAGCTGGCGTGCCGCGTCTGCGCGCGGCCCCCCGGAACTTCCTCTCCGTCATCGTGGCGTCAGAGAAGGTGCGGGCACGTCCGGGGGAGTTCTCGCGCGAGTGGGGCACCTCCGGGCGGCCGGTTTTCCGGACGCGGGCGGGTTGCAACTCGGCGGTGGCGCCTTCTCTGCCCTTCTGCGCGGCTCCTTGGGCGGGAGGAGCTCCCCACGCTGCGGCTTCTGGACAGCCCCCTGGACGGCCTGAACCCCGTCTTCGGGGATTTGTGCTGTCATTTATCTGCCCGGTGATTCCCGGGAATCCGTGGTCCCGGACGGAGGCCATTTCTCCTACGGTGCGTCAGACCTCCTGCGAAGGAGACCTTTGCAATAAAGACCAAGGCCATCCCCTAGAGATTCGAAGGGGGATCTGGCATTGATATTTTTTAAAGCCTTTCAAGGAGTTAAAATGCGCAGGCAGCAGGATCGAGAACTGCACTGTAGAGTTCCGATGCGGGAGCCAGGTGATCTGGGGAGACCCCAAAGTTAGAAGGGAGAGTCCGGTCTGGAGCGTGGACGTGGCTCTCGCTGTGGAGCCCGCCCAGGCGTGTACCTCGTCCTGGGAGGTAGGCGTCCTCCCTTTTGCAGGTAAAGGAAGGGACTCTAGAGTAAGTAACTGGCCCGTGTAGAATCAGGATTGCATTCGGGTTTGTGGTTCCAGGGTTCAAATTAGGAAGACCGCTGGCAGGGACCGAGAAGAAGAGGCAGGGATGGGGTGGGTCATGGCCCCTTGGATCCCTCTCCCCTCATCTCCACCCTATCCCACCTCCTAAGTCTGAGGACCCGTTGCTTAGGTTGGGGTTTTCGCCAAAGAGCACGGGCACCTGGTCAGTCAGCCTGTACCGGGCACTAGGATCTTGAAATACCTCCCATGGGCTGGCACACAGTTGCTGCCTCAAGCCCCCGCATGCCCCACCTGCTCCATCTGCTCCCCTGGAGCCCAGCGACTAAAGGGTCATGCCCAGCAAAGGCAGAACCTCCAGGACACATTCTGAGTGTCCAAGTCCAGGCTAGTTAATCAGCTTTTGTGTCACCTCTGGGCCAGGGGTGTGACCAGTTCGTGCAGACTTTTTGCCTTGCCTCTGGATGGAAATGTGGGATTCTGAACCTGGAGCTGCTTCTGCTCTGACCTCTACAAGGCAGCAGCTGTGTGATGCTGTGGGGAGGCAACATCAGGCTCAACTTGAGTGGTGCCTGCCTGCACTGAACAGATAACTCAGAACATGAGTCTCCTGTACCATCAGAGGCCTGGTTCCCAGCAAGGAAAGTTTGGTTGTAAATGGTTCTAGAGTAAATGACCTCTGTTGGTCAAGATGTAAATTAGGTGAGGCGAAGGCAGGGCTTGGCTAGCAGGCTGAACTGCACAGCTTTCTGTACCCGTGTCATCAGGAGCCCAGCAGAGCCAAGGGTGTTCATGCCAGACTTCACCTGCAAGCTCTCTGCAGGCCCCTCAGCACAGCCAAGCTGCCTGAGGATGGGTTTTTATTCTCTGCATATGGGTCTTTATTTCCAAGTGTTCCTGTATGGATTAGAACCGGTCTCCACACATTGGGAGTTTGGGCTTTCTAGTGTTGCCAGCCCTTTCCTGTAGGCTTAGAACAATGACGGCAGTGTTTCTTCCCGGGAGCATCTGCCCATGGGGATATGGCACACTGTGGCCACATGAGCGTGGCGATTCCTTGCGCTGTCTGCATCTGATTTCTCATTTTAAGTAGTAGCAATGTCCCTGCCCGTGAAGAGCTCAGAGCAAGTGCAAGGAGCTGGCAGTTTTTACTGGCTGCTCTAATTTTGTGTGATTGAATGCCCTGGACCCCAGCTGAGGAAAGTATCCTCTGCTATCTGTTGCAAGTCCTGTACCTTGAGGCCTCCTCTAGGCCCATGTCCCTGTGGCGGGCATTAGAGCCTGGCATCCAGTAGACCTGGGTTGAGATCCCAAGCAGGCTGTGTATCTTTGGCCAAATTGCTTCACCTCCCTGGCACTCAATTTTCCTCGTCTTCAAGGTGAGATGACAACAGAAGCCACCTCCCAGGTGCATGTATGCATACAGAGCACGTAGATGCTCTTCTGGCCTCTCCTGGAGAGCACAGTGGAGGTGCCCCAGCCTTTGAGCCCTGGGGAGTCTCTCCCCAGAGAAAAGGACCCAGGGATCTGGGATGAAGCCAGAGCGTCCAAGCTGGCAGGACACAGGCTGCAGGCTGAGCCGCTGCTCCACACACAGACCTGCTGACCGTAGAACCAGGATGGTCAGATGGTGATGTTGGGCATCGTGGACCAGAGCAGGCCTGAGTGCCCTCACCTCATTGTGGGCATCCTGCCTGTGCACTGGAGGGCAGGTGGTAGGCCCCTCAGAGCCCAGCTTCTGCCCTTGGAGGACACACGCCCTGCTGTGTCTGGATAGTTCTCAGTCCACACTCCAGACAGAAGACTGAGATCACCTTTATTAGGCCAAGGGTGGCTGTGGTACAGATCTCAGAGGTGCTCCCGGTGCTGGGACCCGGCATTGCCACAGCTCTCAGAGCAGCACCATTCCTGGACCTCTTGAGTGAGGAGGACAGAAGTACCGCAGACAGCTAGGGCATGGATGCTGGGTAGAGGGCCAGGAGCATGCTTAGCCTCAGACCCTCCAATTGGAAGGGATGCCTGGTGGACACACCAGGAGGGTCTCTACCCACTCAGAGGCTACCAGGTGTTGCTGCAGCCCACGTCTCTGCTGAGTGCAGGGGCAAGCTGGATGCTCCTGTCCACCTGGGCCAAGGTGCCCGTTCCAGCCTGGACATCCACCCAGGGAGGGGAAGCTGCCATGATTTCATCCTTGTGATGGAGAAGAGAACAAACATGGGTGGCGGGAGTGGAGGTGTCTCTCGAATCCTGTGCCCTACCTCCAACCTGCCCTACATCCTATCTGAGTGAAAAAACATTCCCATTCCATCCCTTGCCCCACCCAGGGGATCCCCAGAGGAAACAGCCTCCCCCAGGGAGGGTCCTGGAGTTAGCCTGACCCCAAATGAACTCTGGGGCCAGGAAGCAGGTATATAAATATATAGGCTGTGTGTATATATTATATAAATGTGTCTGTATATGTATATATGTACATGCACAAGAGGGCCGGCTGGCAGCTGCACCCCAAGATGGGCAGTTTCTTGGCCTGCTTCAGAACTGGCCTGGCTCCTCCCTGGAGGCCTGGCCACCTTGAAAAGCCACTGCCCAGGTGGCCCAGAGTAGTCAAGGGCCTTCACTTGAAGTCGAGAGTCCAGGTATGAGGGAGGTACAGGGACTGGGTCTGGCGGGCACGTCGAGGTGTGTTAAAGGCGTCCACACTCTTGCGGCTGGAGCACACCACATCCGCCACAAAGCTAGTGCAGTCGCTGCAGACATCCTTCAGGAGACAGCCATGGGTGTAGATGTGTGGGAATGCCTCCTCCACACTCTGCCACTGGGGCCCCTGCAGGGATCTGGGGCAGAGAGGGCTGTCAGGGAAGCCCCCTGCCCACTTCTCCATGTCCACATAGTCCTAGCCCAGGCAAAAGCTCTTCCTGGAGAGGAACTTGATTCCTGGGCTTTGACCAGCCAGTTCACTTCACATCATGCTACTCGGCTGCCAGAGGCCTCAGGCATCTGTTTCAGAACAACTGCCTCGGATTCCCATTTCCTTGGGGTATCCCACCAAACCCACCCACCCACCTCAGCTCCCTAGTTAGTGACAATGCCCAACCACCACAGGGACTTTGGCAAAGGGCAAAGAAACGCACTGGAAGGTGTCTTTTTTCTGTGCCGATGTGGTTTTGGCAGTTGACACCCTCTGAAGACTCTCAAAGCCCAGTGTGTAGACAGGGATGTGTGCAAACTTCTTAGAAGGCATCTTCATCTATAACGCAAAGGAAGATGTGCACAGATGCATCCCCCAGAGATAGTCCAGCAGGGGCAAGCCTAGAGGTCACCACTTGCCCTCCGACCCCAAGTGATTCTCACCTTCATGCTGCAGGAAGCACAGACAGCTCTGGAAGGGAAAATGGGAGATAATCAGCTGTGAAGACGCCCACAAAGAAACCACTGCTCCTGGCCTCTGCGTCCCACCCAGCACACGTGCCAGTCACAGTCTTTGCCTTCTGCTTGACCCTTGCACATGTCTGTGTTTCACTTCCACTTTACTCCCAAATCTTACTCTGCTTTTTACTTAACTCTACACCCAAAATACTTCTGCCCCTCATAGCTCTTTTTTTCAGATATCCGGTCTGGAGTTTCCCATATCCTCCATGTTTGCATGGATTCTTCTCACCACAGAAGCAACATCTGAGCCAGAGGGCCCTTGGTCGAGATGCTCAGTTTTAGGCAAAGATTAACCCTTTTTTATTCCCCATATTTGGTTTCAGGAATACCTTTTTGTAAAAATTCAAATATTAGAATTGTAATTTAGAGAGGAATCCTCTCCTGTAATAAAAGCCCATCCTCAGAGATGATCCCTGCCGGCAACAGAGCTTCTGTTCTCCAGATCTACTCAGGCACATATTAACAAAAGTACATATTTAAAATAACAATAAATGAAATGGCGTGTTGTGCATACTATTCTATAAAGACACATGAGGGGGGCTCTTCTGCACATTAGTATGAATTGTGCAAATTTATTTTTTAAACCAAAGGCCCATGGCTGTAATTGCTAGATGGGATGACCCAATGAAGCCAATTAGGTCTTAAAATTTAAAAAAATAAAACAAAGGGCTATGTTCTGCATAGATATCCCATACTTGTATGCCAACAAACCTCAGGGTAAATTTAATTTTATTTAATCATGGTCAAGGAATATACTTTGTATGACTTGAATCCTTTTACACTTTTGAGACTTGTTTTCTGATGCAAAATATGGGCTATTTTGGTAAATGTTCTGTGTACACTTGAGAAAAGTGTCCTGCTGTTGGGTGGGTGGTGTTCCATAAATGTCAACTAGGTCAAGTTGGTTGATGGTGTTCAAATCTTCTGTATCCTTAGTTTTTTTTCTGCCTACAAGCTTTATCAGTTATTGAGAGAAGGGTATCGAAATCTCTTAATTACAATTGTAGATCTATTTTTCCTTGCAGTTCTATTACATTTTTATTCCATGAATTTTGAATCTCTGTGCTGTTTGTATAAAGTGTTTGGCATTTCCTCCCTTTATCATTATGAAATAAGCTGCTTTATCTCTACTAATATTTTATAGGATATTAATATATCAACTCTAGCTTTAGACTCTTGTTGGCATTCTAATCCTTTCTCCACCCTCCTTCTAACCGGTTTGTGTCATTTACTGATACGTCTTGTCGGCAGCAGATGATCTGGCTTCCTTTAGTAAGTCTGGGAAGCTGCCTTGATCTTGGCTCTTTGGAACGTTCACAGGTAACTACTGACGAGTGGCTTTAAGTCCACCATCTTGCTGTTTGCTTTCTTTTTGTCCTGTTTGTTCTTTGTTACCTTTCCCTGTTTCTGCCTCTTCTATTAAAGGACTGTTTGTTTATGATTCCATCTTATTTTCTTTGTTGACTTATAAGCTGTTCCTCCGATATTTTGGCAGCTGCTTTCAGGCATATAGTGTGTGTGTGACTGAACCCCAGTCTACCACCTCAGTGGGGTATAAGCACCTTAGACTCGCATACTTCCCATTCATCCTGCCTTAGTCTTAATGCTGTTAACAATACTTTTTACAGTTACATATGTTATAGACCCCACAGTACATTAACATTTTTGCATGCCTGGAAATTTTTTATTGTATACTAGACACTGAATTTTACCTTGTTGGGTGCTGGATATTAGTTTACCTTTTTTTTTTGTTATCATTAATCTACAATTACATGAAGAACATTATGTTTACTAGGCTCCCCCCTTCACCAAGTACCCCCCCACACCCCATTACAGTCACTATCCATCAGCGTAGAATCACTACTTGTCTTCCCTATGTTGCACAGCCCTCCCCATGCCCCCCTCTACATGCTAATTATACATGCTAATCGTAATACCCCCTTTCTTTCTCCCCGCCTTATCCCTCCCTTCCCACCCATCCTCCTCAGTCCCTTTCCCTTTGGTAACTGTTAGTCCATTCTTGGGTTCTGTGATTCTGCTGCTGTTCTGTTCCTTCAGTTTTTCTTTTTCTCTCTTTTTTTCTTTTTTTTTCTTTTGGTATCATTAATCTACAATTACATGAAGGACATTATGTTTACTAGGCTCCACCCTTCACCAAGTCCCCCCCACATACTCCTTCACAGTCACTGTCCATCAGCATAGTAAGATGCTGTAAAATCACTACTTGTCTTCTCTGGGTTGTAGAGCCCGCCCCATACCCCCTCCACATTATATATGCTAATTGTAATGCCCCCTTTCTTTTTCTTTTTCCCCACCCTTATCCCTCCCTTCCCACCCATCCTCCCCAGTCCCTTTCCCTTTGGTCCCATTCTTGGGTTCTGTGATTCTCCTGCTGTTTTGTTCCTTCAGTTTTCCTTTGTTCTTATACTGCACATATGAGTGAAATCGTTTGGTGCTTGTCTTTCTCCGCCTGGCTTATTTCACTCGGAATAATACCCTCTAGCTCCATCCATGTTGTTGCAAATGGAAGGATCTGTTTTTTTCTTATGGCTGAGTAATATTCCATTGTGTATATGTACCACATCTTCTTTATCAATTCATCTACTGATGGACATTTAGGTTGCTTCCATATCCTGGCTGTGGTAAATAGTGCTGCAGTAAACATAGGGGTGCATCTGTCTTTTTCAAACCGGGCTACTGCATTCTTAGTGTAAATTCCTAGAAGTGGAATTCCTGGGTCAAATGGTAGGTCTATTTTGAGCTTTTTGAGGAATCTCCATACTGCTTTCCACAATGGTTGAACTAATTTACATTCCCACCAGCAGTGTAGGAGGGTTCCCCTTTCTCCACAACCTCGCCAACATTTGTTGTTGTCTTTTTGATGGTAGCAATCCTTACTGGTGTGAGGTGATATCTCATTGTGGTTTTAATTTGCATTTCTCTGATAACTAGCAAGGTGGAGCATCTTTTCATATGTC